TACAAGTACAATATCTACTACACTTTATCGGTATGGAAGCATACGATATACTATGCGACAAAATTGAACCAGGTAATCCAGCTAAAAAAGGCTATGAGGAATTAGTTACTATTATGCGCGAACACTATGAGCCAGCACCATTAGAGATTATGGAGAACTACAGGTTCAGACTGAGAACTCAAAAAGAAGGCGAATCAATTCAAGAATTTGTGGCAGCATTACAACGCCTGTCAATAAATTGTAAGCATGGGCCATATCTATCAACGGCATTGAGGAATCAATTTGTTTTTGGTCTACAAAAACCCCAAATTCAATCGATACTTTTGGAAACAGAGGATTTCACTTGGGCGAAGGCAGTGGAAAAGGTATCGGCTATGGAGATGTTTATGAAGGATGCGGCTCRACTACATAAATCTAATACGACAACAGGTACAATTGCGAAACTGGACAATGCAGGTAACAGAAAAACTCCATTTAGTAATAAGTATAATAATTATTGTAAATCTAAAGTGGATAACAAAAACAAATATGCTGTAAAAACTAAAGATAAACCTAAGTGTTTCCGATGTGGTTCAGATAAACATTTAGCTAACACTTGTGATAAAAAAAAATGGAATTTGTGGTTATTGTTCTAAGGTAGGACATTTAAAAAGTGTTTGTACTAAATACTTACAAGTAAAAACTGTAGACAAGGTGGACAGTAATGACACCAGTTATAATATTGCTGAACTTTTTAAAATTAATGAAGGAAGTAAAATAAATGATCGGTCAAAAATATTTGTTAACATACTAGTAAATAAAGTTGAAATTAAATTTGAAATTGATACAGGGGCAGCAGTAACAGTGATAGGAAAACAAGACTACYTAAATCACTTTAACAATATAAAATTGGAAACCACTAATTTAATCCTAAAATCTTACTGTGGAATTATACTAGAACTGTTAGGGGAACATTAATGCAAAAGTTTAATACAATAATATATAGATATTATTGTATTAAACTGATATATTATATTATACCTATACACTTTAAATCTATATATTGTTAATGCCGATAAAGAACCATTATTAGGTCGGGAATGGTTAAAAATAATAAAATTAGAATGGCAGAAAGTATTTGAAAATAATTACATGGAAGTAAAGAAATTATCAGCTAATGAGGTACAGCAATTATTACAAAAATATAGTTCAGTATTAGAAGAAGGCATAGGTGAAATAAAAGACTTACAATAAACCAAAGCGTCAAACCTATTTTTGTAAAGCACCACCAGTTCCTTTTGCACTTAAGACAAAAGTGGAGGAGGAAATTGAAAATTTGGTAAACCAAGGGGTCCTTAAGAGAGTATTGTATTGTATCCAACTGGGCTACACCTGTTGTCCCAATTGTTAAACCAAATGGTAAAATAAGATTATGTGGGGATTTTAAAACCACAATAAATAAATTTTTGTTAGTGGATAATCATCCACTGTAAATGAATTATTTTCTAATGTAGCAGGAGGTGACAAATTTACAAGAATTGATCTAAGCCTACTTACACTTACCTGTACATGTTTCAGACAGACATCTATTAACGCTCAATACACATAAAGGTTTATATGAATGTACTAGACTAATGTTCGGTGTATCATCTGCACCCGCTATATGGCAAAGAGAAATTGAAAAAATTTTAATTGGAATACCTGGAGTAACGGGTTTTCTATATGATATAAACATTACAGGTGCGAGTGATGAGGAACATTTGGAAAGACTAGAAACTATATTAAAAAGGTTGCAGAAACATAATTTAAAAATTAATATAAAAAAAAGTATTTTCTTTCAGGACCAGATTGAATACTGTGGGTATGTGATAAATAAGGGTATTCAAAAGTAAATTCTATTCAAAATTTTAGGCGTCCCACAAATCAGTCTGAAAAAACAGCTTGTTTAGGACTAATTAATTACTATGCTAGATTTTTTAAAAATTTGAGTGATTTACTTTACCTTTGAATAAATTACTTTGTCATAATACAAAATTTGAGTGGGATAAAAGGTGTGAGTACTCTTTTAACGCAATTAAAAGRCAAATACAAAATGAGGATATATTAACTCACTATGATACAAAATTACCAATTATTGTAGGAACAGATGCTAGTTCATATGCAGTAGGGGCTGTAATTTCACACATTTTTCCTAATGGAACTGAAAGACCAATACAGTTTATTTCACAAACACTTACAGCGACTCAACAAAAATATGCACAAATTGATAAGGAGGCTTATGCTATAGTTTTTGCTGTGAAGAAGTTTTATCAATATCTATATGGGGCGTAGATTCGCATTATATACGGACCATCWACCGTTTGTAAGGATTTTTGCACYTGACAAATCTATACCACTTCTAAGTGCTAGTAGAATGCAACACTATGCCTTATTTTTACAAGCTTTCACTTATGACATACATTACAAAATTACAAAATGTCATGGGAATGCAGATGCACTGTCTAGGCTTCCTATTAAATCTGAAGATACACATTTATTTGAGGCCTGTGATATTTTTGAACAACAACAAATAGAGACTTTACCCATTACTGTAAATGACATTGCACAACAAACCATTTCAGACAAAACCTTACAACCATTACTAAAAGCACTACGATCTGGGAAATTACTAAGGAAACAGTATAATTTTGGTATTGATCAAACCGAGTTCTCATTACAGAGCAACTGCCATTATGAGGGGGAYCAGGGTAGAAATACCAAATTAATTTAGAAAAACTATACTTGGAGAGTTACACACAGCACATTTTGGAGTTAATAAAATAAAGGCATTAGCTAGGAGTTATTGTTGGTGGCCAGGTATTGACCTTGATAGGTTTAAGTAGCTAAAAGTTGTTCGGAATGCAACAAAATAATGAATAACCCATCTAAGGTACCAATACACCAGTGGGAGGAACCAACAGAACCATTTGAAAGAATCCATATAGACTATGCTGGACCAGTCAATAATATGTATTATTTAGTAATAGTTGATGMATTTACAAAATGGCCTGAAGTATGYCCCATGAAACAGATAACCACTAACAAAACAATTACTATTTTACGTTCACTATTTGCACGTTTTGGAATTTGTTCTACATTAGTGTCAGATAATGGAACACAATTTATTGCACACGATTTTTCACTTTTTTTAAAACAAAATGGTATTAAGTATAAACGCACTGCACCGTATTATCCAGCTACTAACGGTTTAGCTGAAAGATATGTACAAACCTTAAAACAATCATTGAAGGCAATGCAAAGTGAACGTAACAGTATAGACTTAGTACTAGCAAAACTTTTATTGCAATATAGGAAGATGCCACATAGTATTTTAAATTCATCTCCATCTTTTATAATATTTGGGAGAGAGATCCGATCTAAATTAGATTTAATAAAACCAAAAGAAATTGTTAGAACTGATATACAAAAACCTAATATAAGGGAGTTAGCTGAAGGACAAAGGGTTGGAGCTAGGAATTATTTGGGTAAAGACAAATGGAGATTTGGACGAATAAAAAAAAATTGGTTTACTTCACTATGAAATTGAGCTAGAGGATGGACGGATTTGGAGACGACACATAGACCAATTAAGAGATATAAATAAATAAAAAAAAAAA